ACCTGGAAGTGTGCAGAGATTATCCACATGGAAAATAGAGCTTTTTTTTCAGCTTTGGAAACCTACTGGATAAACCCCCTCCTTTTGAAATTCACAGCAATAAATGAAAGAAACAAGCTGCCCGGTTTTGTGAGTTAACATTCAGCTTCAGGCAGATATAATAAAAGCATCAATTAAAGGGTAAGTCCGCCTTTGGGAACAGATTTCATGTTCCGCCTGTTTTTATTGGTGGAACATGTAACTTGTTCCCAGTGCTGCAGCCACCTCCCGATCTCCCGCTTCCACGTGACCGCAGTACAGGGAGAAGTTCCAAGTAGTAGCTGTCAGTTTTTGAAATCAGCACGCCATTTACCCTCGGTTCACATCTGTGCGGGTGGTGTCGCTGCGGATCTGCACGAAAATTCATGCAGCCGCACGACCCACACAGAGAATTGCGGACACGCGGCCGGGTGCCGTTAGTTCTAATGGCACGCCGCCCGCACTGGAAAACGCAACTGTACTGGGAACCGAGGTTCCCGTGCAGGCTGCGTTTTCCAAAGAAGTACAGGGACATCTTCCCTGCGTGTCATGGGCACGGGAGTCCATTCAAACGAATGGGCTCTCGTGCCCGTGCAAAATGCGGCCCGCACGGGCCACATAGATGTGAACCGGGGGTTAGAGAGTTTTGTGAATGAATGTACTACAAGTACTGACATCCTTTGTGGATATCGGCTGGTAGTTCTCAATGAACCGACACCACTTGGCTCTGGCACCTGATGCCTACCCTTTCTCTTCCAGCCTCTCAGGTTCTTCCGCAGTGTGCTACACTGTCACAAAGACTAAGCCGGGTGCCCACTTAGCAGGACGGGGTGTGTCCTGAAACAAACACTGCTGTCAGTCTAATATTGGAAAGATGCTTACAGGAAGAGAGAGACGACAAATCATCAGTGTACGGCTGCTTCTTCGCTGCAAAACCAGCAGGGTGGGGTGAGTCCTGGAACAAAACATGCAGCTACTGCAGCAAAAAACAGACCCAGAAGTGCTATTTGGTTTTGTGAATGAATGAACTACAAGTACGGACATCCTTTGTGGATATCAGCTGGTAGTTCTCAATGAACCTACACCACTTGGCTCTGGCTCCCGATGCCTACCCTTTCTCTTCCAGCCTCTCAGGTTCTTACGCAGTGTGCTACACTGTCAGAAAGACTAAGCCGGGTGCTGCCGCTTCTTCACTGCCCAATTAGCAAGACAGGGTGTGTCGTGAAACAAACACTGCTGTCAGTCTAATATTGGAAAGATGCTTACAGGAAGAGAGAGACAACAAATCATCAGTGTACGGCTGCTTCTTCGCTGCAAAACCAGCAGGGTGGGGGTGAGTCCTGAAACAAAACATGCAGCTACTGCAGCAAAAAACGGATCTGGCAGTGCTATTTGGCAGGAGTACTTGCTTGGTAAGCCTGGCCCATAAAACAGCTCTTATATATGGTATGTATTTTAACTGTGTACTCAGCTGCTTCCCTAGAGTTCCACTTTAATATTATCCCATTTAAATGAATGGAGGTCAGTCATTCTGAAAAATTAAAGCCTGGCCTAAAAGCAGACTGCTTTTGCCTTAAACCTGAAAAAATAAATAAAAGTCAGCAGCTACAAAAACGGTAGTTGCTGACTTTTAAAATACAGCCACTTACCTGTCCCTCGGTCCAGCGGTGTCCTCATCACCGCTGGTTTCACCGGCCTTCTTCTCTCCCTGACGCCGGAATCTCAGTGTCACCTTGCGCTGGTTGCGCATCAAGAAGCGCCTTTGCGAATCTGTCTGTCTGCCCGTCTGAACACCGGATCTTCACTTCCGATCGCCTAGGCGATCACAGCGGAAGTGGGAGCGGGTATCTGTCAAATTCGGATACTCCCTCCCCCCGCTCCCCAAAGGTGCCAATCCTTAAGGGGGAGCGGGGGACAAAGGCTTAAAGTGGAACTTCCCCTTTTGGGTGGAGCTCCGCTTTAAGTGATTGCGAAGCTTCAGATTTTCTTTTTTTACAAATATTTTACACTTAACTGCTGAAAAAAAAAAATTGCACACAGCAGACCCAATCCTCCGCTTCTCGGGTCTCCCATTGAGTACCCCCATAGCAACTTGCTTGCTAAAGGAGCACAAGTGCGTGCTCGCTCCCGAGCCACAGCCCTGTTCATTGGCTGTGGTGGAGTAAGTCAGGAGAGACTCTGCTCTTGCGCACATCCCTGGATTGAGATCGAGCTCAAGGGGGGGGGGGGGGCAGCTCCATGCAGAAAGTTTTTTACATTAATGCAAAGAATGCATTAAAGTACAAGTTCACCTTTTGACCAAAAATAGTAAATGCACATTTTTTTTGCAGGTAAAAAAGTGCATTTGCTATTTTTGGTTGCAGGAGCGCGCAAAGCATTGCACCAGCGATCAGTAGATCGCCGGTACCATTCAGGTCTCCTGTAGACCTGTCAGTATATCTGATTGCCCGTATGGGATACTGACAGGGGAGATTCAACGAACTACCATGGCGCTCCACAGCACCATAGTAATTCATTGAGAACTAGAAGCTGCTAAGGCTGTCGGGACTTGTAGTTCATTTATTCACATAACACTATGAATGATGCAACCCCGTGGGCGGAGAGCCTCGCACAGCCACACTGTTTTTAAAAAACAACAGCTAGTACGGGGAACTTCTCCCTGTACTTCTGTCACAGGGAGGGGGGGCAGTGGCTGCAACATGTTCCCAAAGGTGAATTTATCCATTAAAGGTAAATAAAACTTTCTGCCTTTAGAACCAATTTAACCTCCCTAGCGGTCTGATTATGTCCATATTTCTGTGCTCAAAGCGGTACATTTTTTTGCATGGAAATATGTACTTTTTTTTTTATTGTAGGCCTGTAATTTTTAGGAATAACTCACTGAAATCTGTCCGAACAAGAGTCTAGTAAACATCCCGGGTATGTTAAACATTTGAAACATGAAATCATAAATTATAATTTAATAATCATAAAAAATAATAAAATAATAAATTGAATTCAATAAAATAATCAAACCAAAAACACTGAAATTTGAAATAGAGCGCCAAAGTTCGCACATCGCTGAGCAAAGTTGCAAAATCGTTTTCAGTGTCTTGGCGACGAATTTTCCCCACAAATCATTATCACTCAATTCTGCAAGTGGTTCTGATTTACTATCGATGTTCTCTAGCCGGTCTAAAACCGCGTTTGACCTAAAGGGACGCTTTTTGGACGCCATGGACGTTTCTCAGTTTCCAGGCAGAAAGAACAGTAAAAATGCAGGCAGGGCGCCGGACAAAGCACTCGGGACAAAATGTATGTGAAATGGTTTGATACAGGAATGTTTAGTACTATGCGATTTTAGTGTATTTAGGGAATGTCACTTTTTCACATTTTTGAATTTCCCGCCAGTTCCGTCCCCCGTACGTCTCGACGTCGCAGGGAACAGAACCCAGAAGACGGATGCCGGCATCGGCCGGAGGACATTGCCAGGGAACACTGCAGGGGGAACATCGTGGGAGCGCAGGACAAGGTAAGTGAAGAAGAGATCCCGGAGCAACGCTGCAGTGTATTCCCGAGTGTAGCTCGGGGGGGTTACCGCTTGTGGTGCTGAAACTTTCCCCCGAGCTACACTCGGGAATACCGCCAGGGGGGTTAAAGCAGATCTATATTTCTATAGAGAGGTTTTCCGACTAAAGGACAGCTCTACCTTTTTGTACAAGTCGTCTTATAGATCATGTCCCCACATCCCTGAGTGCAGCCCACCTGATCCAATCCTTCCCCGTTCCAGCAATCTTCACAACCCTACCGTTCTTCCAGAACTGTCCCTGCCGGGTCCTTCTCATCCTGCACATGAAAGTCGTGGCCCTATTCATGTGGAGCTGAACTCATGCCAGCCTCGACTTGTTCTGCATAGTACAGCTTGCCCCATAGGAATGAATACGGCCATGGCATAAATGCACAGAGAAAGAAGATCCGGCGGCAATGCTTTTAAAAGAAAGGCTTTGCAGCTCCGGATATGGCTGCACAGAGAAAATCCGGAAACCGAGGAAAGTACCGGACCAGGAATGCTACACACCCTCCAGAGCAACACTTACAAAAAGGTACAGTAGTCTATATTCCAATTACCATGGATTACATCAAGGCACATGTTGATTGTTCAAGAACATGACAGGAAAGTTAAATAATGCAATCACCACGGTACTTATAAAATATGGAGTGGGTGTGAATTATTATAGAGAAGCTTAAGGTGTGAATTGGTTTCAAATCGCTGGAGTAGAGATGCTGAAATGGCATTACATGTGGGTGGCGTATAATGTGGAAAGCCCCCACCCCTGCTTAGGGGATGGTTTAAGTTGTCCTCTTTCAAAGGAGAAAAGATGACCAAGTGACCCTTATGTCTATAAATGCTGGGGTATGTTCCTGAAACACATTAGAACTGAGGAAGCTAATTGGCTGAGAGGTGAAAAGTCTTCAATAAAGAATTTGAATGCAAAGCACTGCTATCTATACCCTGACCCGGAACACAGAGAACCTTAAAGAATATGTAAATCCAACATTTCATATTCCTGAAATGTGCCTGCTGTACCATGTACTTGTATGAAAAAGTCTCATGTTCTCTTTGTATTGCTTACATTGTGTGAAATCCTTGGTGATCCTGCCACTCCCTTGTTCTTTTTAAAAACTGACCACACTAGGCATGAGAGCACAGCGTGGTCAGTTCTCCAGCTGTTATGAGAACACAATCTCCTCTTCTCCAATGATCAGACTTGTCCTGACACACCTCCCCCCACCTCCGCCCTCCACTGCCATTTACTAGGAAGTTCAGTGTGCAGACGTTTCTCCTCCCCTAGATGTCTGAGCAACCTATGCACCCGAGAACTGTACTTACAGTGCTTTTTTATATGTATACACAAATATTTTGCCTTTCATTTCTGTTTTAAACTGAATGGGTTGTTTTACAAGGTGAGCGATTACGTATACTTTAAGAAATGTCTTCTCACCTCCTCGCCGTTCTTGTCCGTGTTGCGCCCGGACCAGAAGAGGTGGGCCGATGTGCTTACGGCTCTGCACTGATCTGGCTTCTTCAAAAGTTTGGAGGCTGCAAGAGCGCATTGCGTTCTCAGTGGTTCGTGGTTCTCCTCACTGAAGCATTTCATCTTCTCAAAGGTTCCGATGATGAGGATAATGGCTGCCAGCTGAGCCTTGGAGTCGCTGATCTCGTCCTCATACAGTGAAAAGGCCTGCCCAAAACAAAGCCATCAAATAATAAAGCACACATGCTTCCTAGTTTCAAATAAAAAAAAAAACCCAAACAAAACAGTTTTAGCAAGTGACCTTTGTTTTATAAAAAGGACAAATAAACAACTGCTGAGCTAAAACGTTTTACCACCTTTGCCGTGAAGGGATCTTTACAGCAAATGTGTTTAACCGCTAGCCTACAGGGCCTACACTTCTACCCCCTTCCTGCCTACAGGGCACTTCTACCCCCTTCCTGCCTACAGGGCACTTCTACCCCCTTCCTGTCTACAGGGCACTTCTACCCCCTTCCTGTCTACAGGGCACTTCTACCCCCTTCCTGCCTACCGGGCACTTCTACCCCCTTCCTGTCTACAGGGCACTTCTACCCCCTTCCTGCCTACAGGGCACTTCTACCCCCTTCCTGCCTACAGGGCACTTCTACCCCCTTCCTGCTTACACCTTCCCTACCCCCTTCCTGCCTACAGGACACTTCTACCCCCTTCCTGCCTACAGGACACTTCTACCCCCTTCCTGCCTACAGGGCACTTCTACTTCCCCCTTCCTGCCTACAGGGCACTTCTACCCCCTTCCTGCCTACAGGGCACTTCTACCCCCTTCCTGCCTACAGGGCACTTATACCCCTTCCTGCCTACGGGCACTTCTACCCCCTTCCTGCCTACAGGGCACTTCTACCCCCTTCCTGCCTACAGGACACTTCTACCCCCTCCCTGCCTACAGGGCACTTCTACCCCCTTCCTGCCTACCGGCACTTATACCCCTTCCAGTCTACCGGGCACTTCTACCCCCTCCCTGCCTACAGGGCACTTATACCCCCTTCCTGCCCAGGCCAATTTCCAGCTTTCAGCGCTGTCGCACTTTGAATGAAAATTGCGCAGTCGTGCAACATTGTACCCATATGAAATTTTTATCTTTTTTTTTGTGACAGATAGAGCTTTATTTTGGTGGTATTTAATCAACTCTGGGTTTTATATTTTTTCTTAAACCAAAAACCACTGAAAAATTTGAAAAAAAAAAAAAAGATCTATACTCTTCACTGAAGCCGGCCACTAGAGTGATCATGTGACCGGACCAGAGCGCCTTCAGAATAGGCAAGTATACACATCCTTCCTTTACAGGGTAGTTTGAGTAGGCTTAGAATGTGTGTAGGAGCCGGTTTAAGAATGATGTGTGTCCAGAATATAATGAGAATGAAGTTCCTAAGTTCGTGGAGGGCTCTGAGAAGAGAGAAGCTGGCCAAGATCACTTGGGGTGGGGTGCCAGGTATACGTTAGAACACTGATCAGTTGCATTCCAGCCCTGTCGGAGTCGAGACATTCTATTTTGTGACACCCTGTTCAAGTGCCTCGTATTAAGTAAAATGCATGTGAGTTTGGAACTGCGGTACGCGATAACATTTTGTGTGAAATTGGGTAAAAGTGCATCAGAAATTTGGAAATGGTGAGGAAAACTTATGGAGAAGCTGCGCTTTGAAAGACTATCAGGGTGCTGCGCTTCGAACAGGAGCGGACTGAAACTCACGGGGCCCCCGGGCAATAAGGGATCATGGGGCCCCTGTGTCCTTGCCCACACTCAAATCACACCCAAAAAAGCTTATGAAAAAGGTACCAGGGACATCTCATGGGGTAAGTCCACCCCTGGCTTCGAAAGACTATCAGGACGCCCCTCATCGTCAAAAACGGAACAGAATGTGGATGCAGGGAGTTCTGTTCTCAACTGTGACCGAAGGCTTGCGATCAGAATTGCAGAGGAAACAGGAATTACCAAGTCAATTGTTCATGGAATCGTGACTCAGGATTTGAACATGAGAAAATTGGTTGCAAAGCTTGTTCCAAAGTACGTCAACTGATCAGAAGGGACACAGTCAACTCGTTAGCCAAGACCTGTTAGCCTGTTTGGAAAGAGACCCTGATTTTTTGAGTCGAGTCATCATGGGAGATGAATACTAGGTGTTTGAGTATAATCCCGAAACAAAGAAATGGCACGCACCCATGTCACCTCTCCCCAAGAAAGCTCAAATGAGCAAAAAGTTAAAAAAAAAGGGTCATTGATTTTTTTTGATTCATATGGAATTGTCCATAAGGATTTTTTACCTACTGGTCAAACTGTGAATCAGAGATTTTACCTGTAAGTTCTTGGTTGCTTGAGACAGAGTTTTTCATAGGCATCCTGAGATCAACAACTTGGATCCTTCATCACAGTGCACGGAGTCAAAGTATTTTGGCTTTCAGAAAGTTTTTGGCT